TATTTATTCTATTACAGTTGTCTCAGTTTTCCCCCCTTTGCCCTCCTCCACCCATGCCACCCCGTGCCCCACTCCCACAGTCAATTCCCATTCTGTTGTCCATGTCCATGGGTCATTCATACAAGTTCTTTGTCTGCTCGCTTCTCTTTCTTTCCACCATTGTCCTCCTTCCCCATCCCCTCTGGTCACTTTCAGTCTGCTCCATGTTTTCATGCCTGTGGTTTATTTTGTTTGTTAGGTTATTTTGTTGAACAGATTCCATTTATAGGTGAGATCAAATGGTATTTGTCATTTACCCACTGGCTTCTTTCACTTAGCATAATATTCTCCAGTTCCATCCATGTTGTCGCAAAAGGTAGGAGTTCCTTCTTTCTTTCTTTGTTTTTAAATGCAGATTGATTTTACTTATTTATTTTTTTAAATGTCAAGATACATTATAAAATGTTTAAAAATTTAAATCTATTATAAAGTTTCAACAATTAAAACAACATGACACCTGCACAGAAATAATCAAGTAGATCAATGAAATAAAATGAGCATCTATAAACAAACATATATATCTAACAATGTAATATAAGATTAAATTGGTATTTCAAATCAATGGGGAAAATAAGGCTTATTCTACAAATAAGATGCATCGACCACTATTACTTGAAATAAAACAAATATAGAGCCCTATTTCACACATTATACAAAAAAACATTCAGGTGAGTTAAAAATAAATATGCAATATCTAAGGAATTTTAGGAGAAATACAAAATAATATTTTTCTTATCCTGAAGTAACATATTCAAAACCCACAAGCTATAAAGTAAAATATTGACAATATGACTATTTAAACATTTAAGACTATATAGTGATATACATATTAAAAAAGTTAAAGGACAAGCCATAGAATAGGAAAGTATTTGCAACAAATCTAAAAAGGGGTTAATAGTGTTCTTTTAGGGAAAAAAATTCTACAAACATTTAATCAAAAAACCAATAAAGAATACTAAAAAGTCATTTAAAGCTTTTAAAAATAATAAAAATAGGCAAGAAATATACAAAACAGGTTTAGTTTCAACAAATAATAAAAGAACAATTACAATAAAATTGTCACAATCAGATTTATAGGTATTTAAAATATTGGTAATATCAAGTATTGGCAACTCTGAAAGAAATTGAGTATTCATAGACTCTTTCTTCATCTTCTTAAAGCAGTCCTTTTAGCATATGTTGCAATGCTGGATTGGTGGAGGTGTATTTTTTTAGCCTTCTGTCTGGGAAGCTACTTATTTTGTCTTCCATTTTAATTGAGAGTGTTGCTGAGGGGAGCAGTCTTGGTTGCAGGTCTTTGCTTTTCATGACTTAGAGTATTTCTTGCCATTCCCTTCTGGCTTGTATTGTTTCCGTTGGGAAGTCAGCTTCTAGACATACTGGGGCTCCCTTATATATTACTACCTCTTTCTCCCTTGCTGCCTTTAGGATTCTCTGTTTGTCTTTGATACTTGCCATTTTAATGATGATGTGTCTTGGAGTGGGCCTCTTTGGGTTCCTCTTGAATGGGACCTTCTGTGCCTCCTGGACTTGTGTGACTTTTTCTCTCCTCCAATTAGGGAAGTTTTCCATCATGACTTTTTCAAATAGGTTTTCTATTCTTTGCTCCTCTTCTTCTCCTTCTGGTATCCCTATTATATGGATATTATTACATTTCAGGTTGTCCTGCATTTCCCTAAACGCCTCTTCATTCTTTTTGAGCCTTTTTTCATTTTCTTGATCTTTCTGGGAGCTTTTCTCTGCCTAATCTAGTCTGCTTTTGAATCCTTCTACTGTGTTCTTCAATTCAGAAATTGTATTCTTCATTTCCTCTTGCCTTTTATTGATAGTTTCTATGTCCTTTTTCATGCTGATATAGTTTGCAGTAAGTTCCTCATAGTTTCCCTGTAGTTTTTTGTATTCTCTCTGAGCTCACTGAGCTTCCTTAGAACCATTGTTTTGATCTCAGTATCTGATAGTTTACTTGCCTCTATTTCATTTAGTTCTCTTTCTGGGGATTCCTCCTTTCCTTTTGACTGGGGAGTGCTTCTTTGTCTTCCCATTATTTGTGAGACTCTTCTTTTTTTGCTTCTGCTTCTTAAATTGATCTGTCCTGATTTCCTGACTTTGTGGTGTGAACTTCTATGGTAGGAGACCGCTGTTTTTTCTTTCTGGATCTGCCTGTGATGATGTCAGCTGTTGACCCTGTCTGACCTTATGTAGACTGTTTGAGACTTCCAGGAATCTACAGTCTGTGGCTCTTTCAGTTGTTAATCTAGTCACTCTGCACTCAGCAGTCAGGCTTAGACAGCACAGGGCGAGGCTGAAGCCCTCCTGGGAGTGGGGATATTGTGTCTTCTCACATTGTTACCATTCAGGGGAATGGTCTGCCTGAGCAAGATGGCTGCTGCCATAAGGGGGATGAGTCAGCACCAGGATCCCACTGGCTGCTCTTTCAGTTCTCTCCCTAAAGCCTTCTTCCCCAGTCTCTCCTCTGGCCTCTCTAGCCCACTCTGCTCTTGCGTTTCTCAGAGACCAGGCTAAGTGGCTACAAATAAAAATTTATGCCTTGGCCTTTTAAATGTCTCTTTGTTTCTCCAGCCACCTGTCTCTGGCAGAAAGCAACCCTGCCACTTTTCGAAGCTCACTATTTTCTGTGTACTTTTTGGGCTCTGGTGCTGTAGGCTGGAGATCCCGACTTATGGTTTAGTTCCCACTCATCTCAGGGGATCCAACTGGCTGATTCAATATCTTTCTGGTGCTGCCACCCATGAGCACCCTGCCCATCTTCTTGAGTCTATCGCACTCCCTACCAGTTAGCTTGTGCTAAAGCTGATTCTTCTGTCTGTCCAACGTTTCAAGGCTCCTCTCTCACTATTGTTCAATTGTTTATTCCAGGTGGTCTCTCCACAATTTAGTTGTAATTCCAGATTGGTCCTGGGAGGAGGTCAGTGTGACTTCTACTCACTCCTCCCCTATCTTGATTCTCCTCAAAAGCAATATTTTTTTTCAAGATGGCAGACTAAGCATATGTTTCAGCATTCTTCTCCTGCCCAAATTCCAAAAACTACATTTTTGTTTTTCAAAATCTATAATACTGCTGGAGAACAAAGCAGGAATTATCTTGGTTGATGAGAAATTAATAGTTTCTAAATGTCTAAGGCAGATACAACCAGAGTAAATGAGGAATATGCAGAACATGGCTGCTGTAAAAATGGAAATAGTATTATGGTATATCCCTATATATATAGTGTATCCCAGAAATTAACAGGTCTAATAGTATTAATGCTATTCTCATTAAAAATAAGAAAAAGGAGCAGAAAAAAAAGAAGACAAGTTGGCTATATATCCCTGCTACTGGAAAAAAAATATACAAGAATAGGAATGAATGAAAATAAAACTGTTAATAGTTCTAGATGATATAATAGTTTACCTAGGAACTCTCAGTCAACCGACAAGCCAAACAAACCGAGATGTTAATGCATGATTAGATACAATAATATCATACCAAAAATACTCTATCTTTCTTCGGCAACAGCAATAACAATTCATAATTAATCCATTCTGTATATTTTATTTTTTCAATAAAAAGTTACAAATAGAGTAGAAACTCTTTGCAAGCTCCTTCCCCATTTCATTCAACTCTCTTTAACTCAGAAGTAACCAGTATATTACATTCGGAGTTTTTCATTCCTATGCATGCATTTATAGTTTGCTGTGTGTGTGTCCTTAAAAGTATATATAGTGTATCCCAGAAATTAACAGGTCTAATAGTATAAAATAAATTATATATTATTTGAATAACATATATTCAAAATTGTGTACAGATGGTATTATATTATATATTTCCTTCTGCAACTTGCTTTTACCCATTAACAGCTGTAGACCCATTCATGTTGATATTTACATGTTTAGGGCATTCTTTCTGAACATCTGAAATCAATATAGATGCATACTTTCTGAAATATATTTCTTTTAATTTCCCAAAATATTTTTGGACAGTAAAAAATGTACCTTAAAAGATATATGGGTTAATACAATGTACACAAGTGTGATGATATAGGAAGTCGGGCCTTCAATAGCTAATTAGGTTATAAGGGTAGAGCTCTCATGAATAGGAGTAGTGCCTCATCCAAGAAAACCCAGAACATTCTCTCACCCTCTTTCTGCCATGTGAGGATATAATAATAAGATGGCAGTCTACTAAGGGGAAGAGGACCCTCACTCAAACCTGACCATGTTGACATCCTGAACCAAACACCCATCTTCCAGAACTGTGAAAAACAAGTTTCTGTTGTTCATAAGCCAGCAAATCTATGAAACTTTATTATAGCAGCCTGAACTAGACAGTTAAAACAAATATCACGATGAAAGTACAAAGCAGCTTGGAAAAAATGGGAGATAACTTCAGTGTCCCTCAACAGGAAGAAAGTTAAATAATTATGGTACATCCATAGTATGGAAAATAATTTTAAGTATTTAAAACTAACTTAGTAGATATATAAGTATTGACATGGAAAGATTTCTAAGATGTAAAAGCAAATATACAACAATATGGTCCCTTTCAAGTAAAAAATTTTAATTTGTATTTTTAATCACATATATGTCAATATGTTTTAGAAAAACAGAAAGCATCATATTGAATACCTTTGAGTAAGTGAATTATTTTTAGGGAAATTTTCCTTTTATTATCCACTGTTAGAATTCTTTAAATGAGAATATGTTCTTCTATTGTTTTTTTAGGAGATAAATTGATACATAGACAGACAAATGTTAGACAAAAACAAAGTGGTCAGTTTGAATGGGACAAAGAATTAACTCCCAGATTATACAATCCAGTAAGAGCTGACTTTATTACAAGCTCTATAGATTCCTATAATTAGCATTGTTATGGCCCAAGACTGTAACAAGTTTCCATTTTTACTTTTTTTATATTTGTTTAATTAAAAGAAAACAAAAGTAGTTGTAATTAACATACTTACTGACAGATCTCAAAGTTTTCAATCGTAGAAGACAACCACGAAAATTCAAGCACAGCACATTTAGACGCCACCTTTCCAGAGTAGACACTATATATTTATCTGTGATCATATTTTTTACCGTGGAAAAATCAATCTAAAAAGGATAAACAAAAGACATTAAAAATAAAAAGATCTCTTGAATGTAACATTTTTAAATATTTTTAAAGCTTCAAGAACTAAAATTTCTTTATCACATCACTTATTTTGGGAGCTTTTGTTGTTGATTTTCATGGTCCTTCCATACCTTAATTACAAACAGATTTTTTTCATGGTCATTCCTAGGTTTAATTACAAATAGATTCAAAATGTTCAGTGTAGGTCAGTAGCCATCAAGGTGAGAGCCTCCCATTTGCCCCAGCTTGGGTCAATTGTCTTGGAGTGGCTTGGATGTCTCCCATCATCCCAGGTGACCCCCGAAACTGCCCCCTACTTCAATGTCAAAGCAATCTGGGTTAATATTTCTGCCTCTTGTTTTATGAGCACAGACCATGTGTTGATTCCTTGGCTATAGGAAAGACAATTTAGAATGTGTGGTTTATAATGACCTTTTCATAAATTACAATTTGGAGGTCATTCTAGAGAAAAGGAAAGATGACCTGAGTGGACCTGGTCGATTGTATGTAAAACTGAAGAGCACAGAGGTTTATGTGAGTTCTTAATGGTGAGGGCTGGTTGATAAACAATAGCATTGATATCATAGTATTAATAGTATTTTTCAGTTAAATGGTTAAGTTTACAAACATCTAAATTTTTCCTTCTGAACAAAGCAATTCCCAGTGCTAAATGTTTGTTATAGTTGTGCCACATTTGAGCATTCACAAATAAAGGCAAAAGTAATTAATGATGAAGGGCAACATAGAATTGTGGAAAGAGAAATGTGCTGAACATAATGAAACTTAACTTCCTATCTTGGCTTTGTTCTTCACAACCATGTGCTCATATATTCTCCCTCTTTACCCAGTGAAGTCTGAGCAGAAATGCTGGCTTTTTCTGCCAGGATTCTGCGGGACTTGTTCTAATCTTAATATTGGACATATTCTTTCTCTTCCAGACCATTTGGATTCATTTTTTCCTTCTTTATGGGTTTTCCAAAGGAAAAAAAAGTAACATCCCCAATCTGTTACAAAGTAAGAAATATCTTACTTTAAATTATAATTTACTTTGATTCTCAAAGTGGGGTCCCAGGACCAGCAGCATCAGCATCACCCAGTAACCTGCTGGAAATGCAATTTATCAAGCCCCACCCCAGACCTTCTAAGACAGAAACTCTGGGTGGCAACGAGCAATTGTTTTAACAATCCCTTCAGATGATTCTGATACATGCTAAAGTTTGAGAGTAACTGCCTTAAACTAAAAATAAATTTAAAACAGGAATGGTTAATTTGTTAGCTATTATGGGTTAGCTGAGACAGAAGCACCTTTTCTTCTTGCCATTGTTGCACAAGATAAGAGCAGAACAGTACAGCCAAGCAAAGTAATGGTGCTCCGATGGGATATAAATATGCTGAGATGACTTATCAAACTAGAGACCCCATCATCTTGTCAACCTCTCAGTTTCTTTCTGTAAATTTTAGAGTCTCTGCAGAATGGCCCTGACCATCTATTCATAGGTGAGTCTGAGCACAAGGTATCTTTAGCCTTCCAATTATTAACAATTAAAATGCAGTGGTAAAGTCAGCCATTAACTGGACTTTAGGCAACAGAGAAAACGTTGCCACTGCAGCATTGGTTGATGGCATAAATGGTCATGGTTGTTGAGATTAAAGTATCCTCCATGAAACAGAATAGAGAAGTCATTGGGGATAATACATGCCTATTTTTGTTATTGGCTGAGATTTCTCCCCAGTGTCTTTGAAATGAGAAACACAGACATGTTCTAGGTTACAAGAATAGTACAAAAATAGTATGATGACAAGAATAGTACAGAGGTACCAGCCTAGAGGTCCATTTTAGAAAATGCCTGAGTGTATGCATGTCTGTGTGCATATAAACACACTAATAACAAACCTTTGTTTACATGTTGTATATTTTAGCCCAATTTCATGCTGTTGTTTTATCCTTTTTTCCATATTTAAGGCTTCTTTGTTCTGTTTTTTGAACTAATTATAGTTGCTGATATTTATTTCATGCTGCTTACATATAGTCTGTACACTCAGAACTTTACTTGCATTATCTCAATTTCTCTCTGCAGCATCCTAAGCTAGCCTGGCAGATACAATGAAACTTTGTTTCAATCTAAAAATAATATTCAATTTATTTCTACCATTTAAATTAAAGAATACTAATAATGTATCTCTTAAAATAACATTACCTTTTTATCTCATCCTTCAGGCTTGTGCCTGCACAAAAGAGAAACAAGTATACCTACTCTAGGTGGCCACATAGCCAGGAGAGGGAAAGAAGGTAGTCACTACTACATTGGGCTTAAAGTAGTCCATTCTCCTTTAAAAACTAAAATACACTCATGCATCGCACGACGACTTTTCAGTCAACAATGGAGCTCAAATATGAAGATGGTTACATAAGAGTATGATGGAACTGAAGAATTCCTGTCACCTAGTGAAGTTGTAGCCATTGTAACATTGTAGCGCAACACATTACTCACTTATTTGTGATGATTGTGATGTAAACAAACCACTGTGCTGCCAGTTTTAAGTATAACACATACAATTATGTACAGTATATAATATTTGATAATAAATTACTATGTTACTGGTTTAGGTATTTACAATACTACTTACTGTTATTTTAATGTGTACTCTTTCTATTTATAAAAAAAAGTTTGCTGTAAAAAAGTACGCTGTTTTATGCCAGCAGCAGCCTCATACTTCTCTTGTTTACCACATATTTTAATTGCATCATTTTTCTCTTGTGCTTGATTTACTTTCATGTTGCTTTTTACAGTAACATGCTGTGTAGGCTTGTAGCCAAGGAGCAATAGGCTATACCATGTAGCCTAGGTGTGTAGTAGGCCATATCACCTAGGTCTGTGCAAATGCCCTCTATAATGTTCACACAATGGCAAAATCACCTAACAATGCATTCCTCCGAACATATCCCTATCGTTAAGTGGCACATGACAGTGAAAACATAGCTTCAGGAAGCAACTACTTACACCATTCCACAATGAGCTTATTTGTGTCATTGACATCCAGGAGTGACATACTTGACCACATATTACCATGTCTCTTAAACTGAGGTAGAAGAAAATCTAAACACAAAGGAAAAAACATACAATTTTGAAAAATATGAATTTTGATACAACTCTTCCACTTACCTTTTTGCAATAGATAGTGATTAATGTAATTCATATATTGTAGAAGCAGAAATTTAAGTGCTGGAAATTTATCTGAAGATAGCCATTTTAACTAAAAATCATAACTTATCTGTTGAAATAATGTGATGTTTTTAATGACCATTGCAGAGGATGATACGAAAGACAGGCAGATTTATTTTCTGAACAAAAGTAGCATTCTTCTAGAAAATTAGTGATTTCAAAATAGTAGCTGGTATATAGGAAGCATTCAATAATAGTTTGCTGAACTGAACTGGATTCTTTTTCTAAAACTATAGGATCCCTAGGAAAGATCAATAAACCCACCTTGGCTCTATTTCTGGAAAATATGATAGACTAGAAAATCTGGAAATCCTCTTGATATGAAATATCATTACGTATTAAACATTTTTAAATATTTCTTTAATTTTTTAAATTTCAGCTTCATTGAGATATAGTTGACATACAAAATTTTAAGATATTTAAAGTGTACATCATGATTTGATATACATACACATTATGAAAGGATTCTCCCCCTAATTAATCTATCCACCACTTCACATATTTATTTTTGTGTGTGTATGAAAGAGGGAGAATATTTAAGTTCTAGTCTCTTAGCAAATTTCAATTATACAATACAGTGTTATCAGCTATGGTCACCATGTTTTACATTAGATCCTCGGACCATATTCATCTTATAGCTGAAAGTTTTTGTCCTTTTACCAACCTCTCCCTATTCCTCCACCCCTAAACCCCTGGCAACTACTTTTCTACCCTCTAAAACAAACATATTTTTGTTAAATCATTTTTATTTTTATTCTATTACAGTTTTCCCCATTTTTCCCCCTTTGCCCTCCTCCGCCCAATGAGGCAGTTGATGAAAGACAAACACCATATGACCTCACCTATAAAACAAACATATTTTTTTAAAAAATAACAGATTTTTCAAGAAAGTAAGGAAAATATCCAGGTCCCCAATCTCCATAAACCCAGACTCATAACTAAGTACACAGGCCGCAGTTGCTGGGGTGGGGAAGCCCTGGGGATGATCGCTGCTTTCCATAACAGATAGGTTCAGATCTTACTGTCCACACAGGGGCGGAGAAAGCCACTAGGTTTGTGCAAAGCTGGAAGTTGTAACTGAGTGTGTGTGAGGGACAGAGAGGGACGGAGGGAGGGGTTAGGGCGAGGGAGGGGAAGATAGATCCACGATTATGAGAGAGATTAAAAAACAAAAAAACCTACCTATTGGCAGCAAATGCCTTGCCTTAGGTTTTAAAAAATATCCCAAAGAATTTGTAACCAAACCAGCTATCTTGAATTTTGAAGGGACTTGAATTTTTAGTTATTTGTGGGATCCAATTTGAATTTATTACCATTATAATTGGATTTGATACATTAACATGCAAAGAGTTTCCAAGTTGGTAGTAACTGTGGGGCAGAAATAAATACCACACTCTCTAAAAAGACACAGCCTCAAACCAGGCATTATAAGATTTCCACAGATCAAGCCCCAGCAAAATAAGCTCTCCATAAAAGTTACAAAACACATGAAGGAAAAAATCCAACAATAACCAACAACAGTAACTTTATTACTAAAATCATCAGGTAGTAATTAAAAACATTAAGGTAATAAAGGCATACAAAGAAAATTAAATTCTTGAGAAAAGCTGTTTTTGAAAAAGGACTGGGCAGATTGATAAAGGAACCAAATACAATTTATGGGAATTAAAAATATAATGACTGAAATTAAAAACTCAATGTTTACATTCTATAGCAGTTGAAACCTAGCTGATAAGAGAATTAGAAAATGAAAATATGTACTGAAATTATAGATGATAAGGCATAGAGAGAGAAAGGGATGGAATGTACAAAGGAGATTAAGAGACACACTTTATAACATGAAAGGGTCCAACGTTCTATATACCTTTACAGAATTTCCAGAAGTAGAGAACAAAGAAAATGGAATCAAAGCAACATTCAAAAACACCACAGATAAAAGTGTTCTAGAACTGATAAGAAGCAATAATTTTCAGTTTCAAGAAGTACAAGAAATCCCACACAGGAAAATCAAAAGACACCATGGCATTATCGTGGAATTGCAAAAGGGCAAAATCAAAGGAAAATCTGAAATGCAACTAGAGACAGATGATCTACTAGAGAATGTCACTTACCAACCACAGAATGCAGAAGGCAAAATACTTATCAATCTCAGATACCACATGCAAGTAAAAGGATGAACATTAAGTAAAGACACTTTAAGACAAGGAAAGAGTTAGCCTCCAATAGGCTCTTCACATAGACTCTTTAGAAGCTCTAAAAGACTTTGGAATCCAAAGAAAAGAGTCAGATGAAATAATAATGATGGGCAAAGAAACTAAGTATGAGGGTAAAGCCATTAACCTTATACAAAAATGTAACGATGATGACCGAGGTGGAGTTACAAAACAAGGTGGAACAAAACAGTAGACAATAGTAATATTCTAAAACTAGAGGAAATGTTCTTAATTCTGGTAATTATTCCAGAAGGAATAATATATATTAATTTACTTTAAGCTTTGGTAAGGTAAATGAACATGCTACACATATTTAAGAGAAATCGCTGAAATAGTAGAAATAGAATGTATATTTTCTAAAACATGAAAATGGGGATAAGAAGGTAGATTTTAAAACTCAATAAATAAAAGCAAAAAAGAAGAAAAAAGAAGCATATAAAAGGGAGATAAATAGTATAAAATGAAATGAGAAGAATAAATTCAAGTATATGCAATACAGAACATTTAAAAAATTCACTGGTTAGAAGGCAAACATTATCCCTAATAATGGTTTTGCTTTAATGTTTTTCACTCTGATATTAATATAGCTATTAATTTTCATGCACAGGTGCACAGGGGTTCACTTCTCTCCACATTCTTACTAACACTTGTTTTCTGATATTTTTATGATAGCCAATCTAACTGGTGTGGGGTGATGTCTCATTGTGGTTTTAATTTACATTTCTCTGATGATTAGTGATGTTGAGCATCTTTTCTTATAATCATGTTCCTTGTTTTTTTTCTTTCTTTCTTCTTAAAAAGTTTCTTTAACATTTCTTATAATACTGGTTTTGTGATAATGAACTCCTTTAGCTTTTACTTGTCTACTTGTCTTCCTCTTTATTTCTTCAATTTTTTAAAGGATTTTATTTATTTATTTTTAGTGAGAGGGAAAGACAGGAAGAAAGGCTGGGAAAGAAACATTGATATGAGAGTGAAACATTGATTGGCTGCCTCTTGAATGTGTGCCAACCTGGGACCAAACCCACAACCCAGGCATGTGCCCTGACTAGGAATCAAACCAGCAACCTTTTGCTTTGCAGGACACCCAACCAAGTGAGTCACATGGGTCAGTGCTCTCCCTCAGTTTTAAATGATAGCCTTGCTGGGTAAAGTCGTCTTGGTTGTATACCCTTACTTTTCATCACTTTAAATATTTTATTCCCATCCCTTCAGACCTGAAATATTTCTGTTGTAAAATAAGCTGACAGTCTTATGGGAACTCCCTTGCAGGTAACTGTTTTTTCTTATGCTACTTTTAAGATCCTCTCTCTGTCTTTAGCCCTTTCCATGTTAGTTAAAATGAGTCTTGGTGTCAGCCTGTTGGGGTTCATCTTTTTGGGGACTCTCTATGTGTCCTGGACTTGTGTGTCTTTTTCTTTCCCCAGGCTACACAAGTTTTCAGCCATTCATCAATTCCTTGCTTTCTCTCTTCTCTTTATGGCACACATATGATGCAGATGTTGTTATGCTTCATGTTGTTCGAGAGGTCCCTTAAACTGTCCTCATATTTAAAATTCTTTTTTTTCTTTTTGCTGCTCTGATTTGATGTTTTCTGCTACATTGTCTTCCAAATAACTGATTCTATCTCTGCTTTATCTAGCCAGTTGTAGATTCCTTCTAGTGTATTCTTTATTTCAGATATTGTATTCTGTCTTGTTCTTTTATATTGTTTCTATGTCCTTTTTAATGTTTACTTTCTCTTTGTTTAAGTTCTCACTGCATTTATCTGTTGTTCCCTAAGTTCCTTGAGCATCTTTATAATCATTTTTTGAACTCCGTCTCTGCAGATTACTTGCCTCCATTTCATTTAGTTCCCTTATGGTGATTTCTCCTTCTCTTTCTTTTGGGGCATTTTTTTTGTCTCTCCAATTTGTCTGCCTGTTTCTATTTATTTCTGTGTTTAAGTAGATCTGCTACACCTCCTAGTCTTGGTATGGTGGCCTTATATGGTAGGTACCCTGTGGACTCTCTAGTGCAGACTCCCTGATCATCTGAGCTAGGTACTCCAGGAATGTCCCTTGTTTAAATTTGTGAGCCCTCCTGTTAGAGTTTAGTATTGATTTATGTTGGCCTGTCTGTGGGTTGGGTTGCCCCTTTTGCTGGTTCACTATGAGAATTGACCTTGACCATAGTGTATAAGCTGGTATGTGGGGGCTGATGTCACAAAATGGAATTCAACCCAGCAAGGCCTGGTGTCCACTGATATCTCCCATGAGTGTGCCACTCATGGAGCTAATTAGGTCATGTTCTAAATCCTACCAAGCTGTGTTGGTTCTGGGGCCTCTTGGGATGGACTCCAGTGCAGGAAAATGTCAGGTACTGTCAGTGACTGGACCTGGGCCACGTCTTTGGAGCTACAAATCAATTCACAGATTGTGGCTGCCTCTTCTGGGCCTGGGTGTGCATGGGAGGGGCCAAGCTACACACCAAGGCTAGTTTCCATGAGCACTGAGCATGGGGGTGAGTCAGCAAAAGGCCCAAGGCAGCTCCCTGTTAGGCTCAGTCCCTGAAAGAGCCTCTGGTGGTACATGAGTTACATGAGGTAGGTTCTCAGAGATTTACCAGGTAGAGGCAAGTGGCATTCTCTAGCCTGATACAGATTCAAGCTCAGTGCCACTA